GACGCACCGAATGAGAGACTGACAGCAGAAATCCAGTGGACAGCAGAAATCCAGTGCATGCGCGGCTGAGGCTCGGCTGTTGGATAGCTTTGTTTCGGTTAATAGTTGTGCCGACCAATTAGGCGTTTGTAATGGCCATGAGAGATGAACAGGCATATTGGAAAGCCTGAGAATGGACGTGAATTTATCACTGATTTTATATCTAATGAGTAATTTGGGGTTGATGATGGGTTGTCGGCTTTGAGTTATTGTAATATGGTGTAGTAGTCTCAAAGTCTTTTGGGAATACTCTCCACATATCTGTGTCTGTGTCTGCGTCAGGTATCAGCTTGAATTATAAAGCGATTCGGTCAGAAAACAAGGGGTTACAAACATATGTTTAAAAGCCTTGTTCGCCCCTGTAACATAACAATATAACCAGCATGCTGCACATGCAACAAACATTTGTTTGATAACTACTGTGATATTCATAAAATGCTTACGTGACACTCGGCACAGGATTTCAACACGCCGTTCCACGCGCGCGGAAATGAAGGCATCCTGTGGGGCTTGGGACGCCTAACAGCTGGGAAACTAACTTCAAACTTACAGTCGTCGATGAAGGGGAACGATTGGTTCCCTCCGTGCCAGCCAAGGTCACCATGTTAAGTCCCTCATTCTGATCTAGGCGGGGCTCGGATCGGGCTATGGCCGTCTGGGCCGCATCCAGGGATGTCAGAGATGCATATGCTGCATCGAACTTTGTTGGCATATGCAGAACTTTTGGTGCTTTTAGTGCTGAGAATTACCCTGCTCAACGGTGGCCGTCCGGCTGCGGTTGTCATGGTAACGAGTGACGCTGGACGGCTTGCCAGGCCGTGCGGCGCTGTTCCAGCCACGTCTCACGACTTCTTAATTAGCATGTGGCGGGGTCTGCAAGGACCGGTTAAGTGCTTCTGAAAGTTTAGGCGGCAAAAAGTCTGGCAAGTTGTTTTTGATGTGGAAAGTAAGGTCAGGGGTGCAGTCAAGAAACAGTGACATTGCTGTTTCCGCGTCGTGAGAATTTGGCCCAACCGCGTGTGCTGCAGGTTTAGTTTAAGGCGGACGTTATAGGGAGCAAAGTGGTTCGAAGATTAAGAGTAGCATGTCAGCTCGAATCAAATATGAGCTCTTGACGTACAGTTTGAGAAGGCACTGGGCTGGATCCGTGCAATTTGGTTTTGTCAGGTCGCCTGTGTTAGATTGCGATGACTGTATGCTGAAAGCATAAATTGCGTTAAATTGTGATTCACTCTTGATCCCCTCTCTGCTGCACTGATGTTACTCAAACCTCCAGCCTAAATTTGGGGCACCCATAATATCAGGCCTTCGGAAGGGAACTGAAGGAAATTGATTTTCCATTTCGATTTGGAGTGATGTCCACTGCAATCGTACGCGTAATCTAAAAAAAAATGTTTTTTTTCTATACGCACTGGTGAGTGATGGTTGCGCAATGCCCCATATGTTCCCAAACATAATTGCCTGTACGACTGACAACCAGACAGGATTCAGCGCTCTCGGTGGCTCAGTGCGCATGTCCATGACCTTTCGTTGCGAGCAGCCGCGTCATGACTGGGCGGCCGCCTCTCAGCACGCCGGCAGACATCTGAAGGGATCGGGTGCGAAGACCGGCGACTCACCAGATCAAGTGAGTACAGCCCGTTCCACACTGGCTCAAAGAGTGCAGCAGACCCTTTGTGATGCGTGCGCGAGACGCTCGATTAATCTTCCTCCTCATCTGACGGCAATAGGCATGCGGGGAATGTCTCAGGCGCCGCATCTTCACCGTCGCGTGCTGTTTCTGGCTGAGTGCGGCGGTGCTCCATGCTGAGCTAATAGACCACGGTTGGCTGCCGCCCTCCGATTGTGCTGCGACAGGCATGTTGTGGCCCGAAAAGTGGGTCGTAGTTTTCCTACTACGCATATAGATGGGGATTTAGTGGCAGATTGTGATTTGTAACCATTTGGCCGCAGGGCAGATAGTGGACGTGGAATGAAATGAATCTGAGGCACGCAGTGGATAACGTTGCAGCAGCCGTATCTCAGAGAATGGCCTGTGTATCGCACGTACGCATCCGAGTCGGTTTTGACTGCCGTGTCGCGGTAGTCGGAGCACGTGAAGAAGTGCAGGGCGTGTATGATAATCCCACCGTCTGGGGCGATATCCTCTTGCAGAAACGAGAAGTCGTCCTGATCGTGGCCGAGATATGCTTCCTGAGCGCCACACCTCGGGATTTCCGGTCAACTCCTTGCGGCCGGCTGATTTGCAGGAATGGGGCGATCGCCTTGCTCCAGGGACGCGGTTTGCAGTCTTGCTCCACTGAATGAGTCTCCAGAGAAAGAAGTTTGGCGCAACAGAGAGCGGTTGGGTAATGGCTGTTAATGGTTGCCGCCAGCACAGTGCCGAAAAAGTGCAACGAAGAACGAAACAAAGCGTAAGAAGTGCCTGCTGAAAGCGTAGGTGTCCGCTATATTTTGGAGACAAGTCCCAGCTTTCCTTAAAAAGGAAGTTAAGTCGGACATGTTTTCCCCTGCTTCATAGTTTGTTACGACTTTACCAAAGCACAAAACTTCGTTATCACGATATCACCAGCTTCGCCTGGACCAGCAAAACAACAGGTCCGACCTCGCAGATATTTAGACCAACAAAATGGCTGCATAGTGGATGTCTGTGAGGAGGGGCGCGATTTTCGGTGGGCTTATAACAATGCGCTCCACACACATCACCATATGGCGTTCGGCTGAGACCTATCTGACTTGACCAAAGCCGTTCAATTATTTCACCATGTTTGCTTTAAAAAACAGGCATGACATTTAAATTGTTTTGATTTCACCTGATCAGCTAGAAAGCTCCCTAATGCTCGTTACACATTGTATTCATTTGTTTTGTTGCTACCTGTTCTAAAACGGACGTTCGGGCCCCTTAATTATGCAATCACAAATGTACATCGCGTGACTAGATTAATTCCTTGAAAAAATGCAAACAAATTTACGCTCTTTGATAACCCAATGTCATCTTTGTCCACAGTCATTTTAAATCCCAAGCATGTCTTTCTCGGATTCAGCAGCACTAATTAGAATGCTTACATCTTGCTTAACTACGATCGAACTATTTGATAACCAGAAAGTATCGGCACATGTTGAGCGCATTGTATTAATATAGTTTCAGACACTTCCATCTTTAATGTATTAACGGCGTGGTTGGGAAAACCAGCCCGTACGTTGAGACGCTTTCCCGAACATTCTTGTTTTACACGATCATTCTTTTGTTTACAGAGCTTACAGTGGATACCAGGCTGCCGTAGACTGAACCCGAGCCGTCCCGTCCGGGCGTACCCAGTCAGGCTGTATTAGCACGCCCATTTAATGAGCGCGAGCACGTGCAGTGCCCCCTCCCCCCATTTTTCTAAATCGCTCGCGTATGATGGGCCTCACGTGTCACTTTCCATTATACATTGCATTCCACATACCAACTTCGTTGGCTAGCCGTGGACTAAGGCATATCAACAGCCTTTCAACATAGAAGTATGCAAAATGTGGCGACAACAGCTTCTGGTGGAGATGAAAGCCATGCGGGCGGTTGGATCAAGGTCCTAAATTATCTTGATATACGTATTTTTGGTGGGTGAAATGGAAATATTGCCTATTTTGACTTCATACCCAAATCAGTGCCAAGAAGCGTCTTGGAATACCAATGTAACCTGATACAAATAGCGTCATTCTCAGTTTCACTTATCCTTCCCTACAACGCTAGCATGGGATAGCGTGTCACCATGACTGGGATCAGTAAACGTCCTGCAATCTTTGATGTAGTCAGCCTTCTCGCTACGGCATATGGGCATTGCATGCATCATTGCACGAACGTGCAGCCCTGCCAACAGGAGGCCAGCATGCAACTAGTTACTTCGACATACAAAATGCTTCGCGATTTTCGACACCGTGAGGTAGCGGTGCCTACCCGGTACTGGGGAAGTGAATGGGTCTGATGGTGGGCAGGCGACCTTCCCACGCTTCAAGGCATTGGTCATAACTAAAGACGGATGCAAGGGAGGGGAGTGGCGAGCAAACCATACCACACCGCCAGAGATGGCTCAGGTTGGAGAAAATGACACATTTCTGGGCATTCAAAATGCATAGGACAGTTTTATCAAGATAAGCTAGTTTTAGAACACTGCTGGACCAAAGAAATCTAAACCCGACAAACGTTTCAAAATTAGGCCAACGTTTCGGATTTTTTCTTCTTTCCCAAGCCAGGGTTGCCTCCCCTTCTCCCTCCCCACCCAAGACGGTGTTCTTGGCTCGGCCTTGCCCGTAGCCCCCGGAAGCGTGACATTCTGAAGGGCGTTGCACGGAACCACCAAGCATCCAGCCGCTCTCGTCCGCCCACACCGCGAAGATCCCTCCCTGCCGCTCCTTCCGCGGCCGCTCGACGAGGCACGAGAGAGCAGCCATTGTATCTTGCAGCAACAATGGCAGTGCTCGTGATGGGTCCCCGTGATAAGTGCCGAGCCAGTACGGGTGGGTGCTGGGTGCGATTTCAGCTGTCAGTTTGTGTCACAACACGATTGTGTCGCAACTAAGCGACGGAGCTTCTCACTGCGTCTCAGTTTTCCTCGGCAATGGCCACACACTTTGAGACACGGTACAGATAATCTTGCTTTTAGGTATCGGCGAAAATCGATGCACTTTCACCCACAAAATTACAGAAGAAATGTGTAGAGCGTTTTCAACATAGTCCTGTCTAGAAGTTGTGCATTTAAAAGCGAAAGCTGATGCGATCCTTGACTTGACGTTTCTTGTCTGGGAAGGAATTGATGCATCTGCATACGTTGCGGTTGTGCTGGTCAATACCTCACAAGCCCACAACGACGGGATACCACACCGCACGTCTCGCCTTACAACCGCCACCACAACACATTGCTTTGTCCGGCGGAAATAGCTGCAGATCACGTTGCCTGTCAGAAGCGCCATCTGCCCCTCACCTGCCCAAGAGAGCAGCTGCCCTTGACCTCAGCTCCGCCGTTCCAGCCGCCTCTGTGCTTCACGGGTCAGCCAGCACCTCTCAAACCTCCAGCGTCGCCACTGGCACCCCACGCGGCCGGCCCACGCGCCCGCCCTCCCTGCACCAGCGTCCGGAGCACACTGGCCGCGCGCGGCGCCAGCGCGCGCCGCCTGGGCCGCCGCCGCCGCCGCCGCTGCCGCCGCCAGTCGATAGAGCCCCACAGCCGATCAATACTCTGCAACGAGGGGGGCCGCCAGACTCGGTTATCTGCAGCGACGCCGCCGATGGGCCCGGGCAGAGTAGCCTAAATGACAATCAACGGAGGCCGTGCTGACTGGCAGAGGGGCTCATGTGCAGTCGCGACGTAAGGCTTGCGCGGCGAAGACGGCCAGCGCCCTGCATGACTCGGCCGGGCGTTATCTCATTCGTCAGACATGCTTGGACCTTGCCTCCTCGGAACATGCAACGCGCCTGGGGCTTTATCTCACAGTTAAACCTATCGGCATCACTGGATGACGCCTCGGCTGAAAGCGTTATGCTAGCACCTGTTGTCTCCCATGCCAACAGGTCTGTGAGAGCTTGGTCATTGGGTTGGTGGAATGCTTGTTATTTACAAAGCCTGCCTCTAACCATCCATTGGATGAGTCGGATCGAACGGAGCATGCACTGAATGCTCCTAAGCAAGCGCGCAGCCCGCAATCCACGCGGCATTTTGTTGCGCTGCTGACGTACGGACTAAAACACATTCGCTCGCTATTCGCGGTGCTTTCGAGAGCATAATCTGATCTCTTGTTCGAAACGCGGAAGGAAGCTCTTTGTGCATTAACTTACAGTGAATTGCATGACATAACAATATGCGGCAGCACCCAAACTTGCTGCTGTGTAGCAGCCCTCAGATGATTTGTAAGCGGTTCCTTGACTTCATATTGTGTGTTCAAAAATTGGTTTGTTCGCTAAGTTTTTATGTTGAAATGAGTCGTTCCTGTCATAGGCTGCCTACCGGAACAATCAGGAAAAGGAATGTTGGTTAACACACGCCCGAGTTGGCTCGTTCGGGCATGGGAAGGGACAATTTGACCCTCTAAAATGTCAAAATTTAGACAGCTCAAGATACCAAATCACAGACTAGATAGGGCTCTATATAGTTTTATGTATGACAATTATACAGGTCTCTAGATCGTGACGTTTCGGTCAAATAAGGTCAGGCAAGGTCATATTCGATATTGGTGCTAAATGTCCTCAGACCTCCTCACACAACCAGCTTTAGCCTAGATATATTTTCTAAACAAAAGGTTGCTAGGGCCACATTAGGTCAATGACCCTAGCTGGCCTTTGAAGAGGAAAAATGACTTCAACCCGCCAAGATTGTTTTCTTATTCGAATTTAAGATCCAGATCAAAAGCTATTTCTAGGCGGCGTGCTTCTCAATCATTGGGCAGTGAATTGTTTTGCATTCGCGAAATTAACTTAGAAAGTTTGTTGACGTCCTTGTGATCAAGGTATTCTAAATAAACCTTAAAACTACCCCTTGAAGCAAGCCCACCAGGAAAGTGTGCTTCATCTCCACCAGAATTTTAGCCTTATGATTGACCTGAGGACAATCAACTTGGTTGTGGCCGTAATTAAATAGCCTATTTGTTAGAGAAACCATTTCAAAATCGTATGACCTCGCCTAGCACCACGTTGTTGCATCAGCTTGAGGGATATCCTAAGAATTGTCTTATAATTAGATTGTCTAATTGTTGGGAAGCCATTTCAGAGCTGTAAGATTTCGTCCAACACCACGTTGTCGCATTAGCTTGAAGGATGCCCTAAGAATTGTCCTCGCTGAAAACCAAGGTCTGTCTTTTACCTGCTACTGGCTAGCGACCTTTGAATGTATATCTTGTTTTACTACACATTGTTTACAGCTATTCAAAGTTTCGTCTCGCTGAGGTGCACCATTGGGAAGTTATTCTGGAAACAAATTGTTCTAAGCCTAAATCGTGGTTCAAATTAGGGTCAGATTGACCCCAGTTTAAAGGGGGTCAAATCGACCATTGACCCAAGCGCGTGTTCATAATAGATCGCGCGCAGGCGTGTTTTTGTCCTGTCAGCTCTAGTTCAGTCATAATGAGACATAATCGGAACCTCGGGCTTTACTCTAGCTGTGCAGTAAGTAGGTTCCCTGAACCAACATATCGAGCATTGACAGGATCGTGTAATCGCAGACCCTTGTTGCTGGCAATTCGTGCCGCCTTGCGCGGTTGACACGAATGATAGCCTGTATGGTATGGGCGACCGTTGAGCTTTTCGTTCGGGCCGTGCAAAGGGTAAGGTCGGCCGGCGACTGCCCGACACGTGGACTGCGTGACATGTCATCGACCGGTGGAGCGTGACACGTCATCGACCCATGGACGCGTGACATGTCGCCGACTCTGACCCCGGGGCATGGCCGTCGATGGGCCGCCATCGACCGACCAATGACGGTCCGTCGCGCTCATTAGTCGACCACCGATCGCCAATCAGCATCCGTTATTATCGCGCCAATAGCAGGGTTGTATGCGGTGGGCTTTATGGTGCGAACGCCAGCCGTCTGTTCGGGTGCGATTGTTTGGGCAGAATGTGCGACATTTTTGGAGTTTTAACGGCTTAGTTTCAAACACATGCAAAAATCCCGAAGGTTGCAGCTTCCGCTGGATAAAAGGATTAGGAGTGCTGCTTAGAAAAATGACGTTCTTCTTGACTTTATTTGCATATCGCAATATTTGCGTGCAAAACAGTTGCAAAAAGTTGTTGTTAAATGAAGTGTTGCAATTGTAACACTTATCGGTCCTGAAAATACTTAAAGATCAGTAGTGGATGTACCCTAAACGATGGGGGGGGGGGGGGAGACACCCCACGTTCTTTACGGTTGTGATACGCTTACAAATCCTAACATCTGCTTCACTCGCCTATCGGATTTGCTGCCGGTGACAGGCTACTAGCTACACATATACATATACGTAACAAAATGCACTGGTTTCATTTCCGAAAGCAGAGACGATTCCTGGTGCGTTTCCCTCCTTGCACATTCTCTACATCCTCGTGTAGCAATCAAGAGTTTTCGGTAGACATGGGGGCCATTTCTATTTTTTGTGATATGCAATGTTATTTCAGAGCTGTATCAAGTAATCTGCCAATGCATGCAACTGGAAATATCGCGATTTGTCCTGACATGCCTGCCACAGTCATGCTAAGTTAGAGCCGTCGATGAGCAATTTAAAGCATCTTAGTTTTGGCAGGCTGTGGCAGATTATTGGTCAGTAATAGCTGATGTGTGTCAGCGCTTTCTGGTAACCTTGCGGCCTGCATTTTGCAAGTGCAGTAGCTTTCCCCGAAGATTTGCTTCGAGCGAACAGTATTTTGAAGCTGTACAAGATTATAGAGATTAATCGTGGAAGATCTTGGAAGCATGCATACATATTTATTGTGGAAGACCCTGCAAGTAAGAAGATCGTGGAAAAAATATCTTAGATCCAGGAGGAAGTTCCCCAAACATTTAAAGCGAGTCTTTTACCTCGTTTCAATGAGCGTTTTAATAAATCATATAGGGCCCCATAACATCCTACATCGGATTTCGTTCATGGATCATAGGCCCGGAGAACCCTTAATCAGCAACTCAGGCTGCAGCCCACAGATGTATTTTCCATTCCTGGAATACATGTTTGCCCAGCTGTTGGCGGCGTGCTGGTGATGTTTTGTTTTGTTCTGTTCTGTTCTGTTTTGCTCAGCTGTTGACGTCTCGGGTGCCGCGATGTTCCTGGCTGCCCAACATTGATGTGCATGCTGCCAATGCTGTACTGTCTGAGGCTGTGTTCTGTGCATTATCATACCTTGTTTTAGTGGCATTTTTAGAAAATTTACGCGATCCATACGTTTCTTACTCTTAAAAACGGCATCTTCAAAACGCCTCATACTGCAGTGCCATTGCAGGCATTGTTTAACACCCGTCCGGGTGGCAGGTGGATACTCTTCGCTCGGGTGGGGGTCATTTTGAACCCCCTGATATCTCAGGAACTAAGAAAGTTAGCAACACCAAATTCACAGGATGCGTTAACCTCTACGTAATCTAACTTAGATCAAATTTTGAGGCTCCTAGGTCACGAACTTTGTGTCAAATGAGGTCAAACAAGGTCAAAATCCAGGTTGGTCTCCAAAGGGGCCCTAAAACCTAAATGACTGTTCTAAGCAAAGTGTCACAGCTCATCTAAGGTAATTTACCTTGTTTGACCTTTGAAGGTCATGGTGACCAAAATCATATGGGACCGCATTCAGTTTTGCATTTGGATAAGCGACAAGGATAACGCTGGCAGCATGTTTCTAAAAACAAAATGTTGACCTGTGTCATTCTAGATCACCGACCTATTCTTACCTTTAAGAAGTATATGGAAGGCGTATAATGGAGTTCATGCTATCAACAAATTTGAAATGAGCACCAGGAACTACCCATACCGCAAGCGCTAGAGTAATAAAACAGCTTGACGTTGACCTTGGTCTAACCTTCATACCTGACCTTAGGTCAATGTAATTTGCTCATTGAATTATTGTGTTGCCTAAGAAAATATTTCAGAGATGTATGGCTCCGTCAGACACCCCGTTGTTGGATCAGATTGAACTATTCCTTAGAAACTCCCCTCGCTGAAATTGTGGCTTGACTTTGACCTGCCATAAGTCAGGGACCTTACAAGGTGTGTCTAATTGTTTTATGACAGGCGATCTGCTATTTAATTTTCTGCAGCTACTTTAAATTTGGCGTGGCTATGCCGCGCCGTCCGGAAACTATTCTGGAAAAAACTTTCGGTGGGTCAATTTGACCCCCACCCGAGCGCGTGCAAACTAGAGTAGCCCCAATGGTACAAGGCCTGGGGCAGCCAGTAGACAGCAGCCTCTCCGCCTAAACGGCTTGGCTGACATAGCCACTACATATAATCCCGCCTCACTGCTGTTATTGCAACACTCATCGCGAAGTTCACCGGCCTTACGTCGTACCCTGTACCTAGATCCAGCTCGCCTCATGCCGTAGCACTCGGCGTGCGTCAAGCGCAGCCTTAAAGCAGGGGCTGAACTGAAGCACAGCCATCTGTGATGCGTGGCTGAAGTG